AAAAACTAGGACCCTGGAACAGACCGGTTGTCTGAGAGACCAGGTCCTATGGCATCTGGCTCGGCCAAGCTGCCTACGGCCATTGCTGCAAGTGGAGGCCTTGCTAACCCAATATCAGGTGCTGTTGCTAGACCCCCCCCGCCCCCCAGGATCCGCTTTCTAAAGACGGCCGCCTCAACCCTGCCACCCTACTCCCGGAGCAGCCATCAGAGCCACTCTGTGGCTGCACTGAAACCCTCGTCTCTTATCGAGCTGAGAGCAGACCTCGCCGACAGTCCCTGGCTGGACCCCGAGGAGGAATTGTATGTGGATGGAGCCGGCCACCTTTCAAGAGTCAGGTATGCAGGGGCGGCTGTCGTGACTGCAAACCGGGTCATCTGGGCACAGGCTCTTGGACGTGGGACTTCGGCCCAGAAGGCAGAGCTCGTAGCCCTGACCCAAGCCCTGAGACTGGGGGGAACAAACGAGACTGTGAACAGCTACACAGACACTAGATACGTCTTTGCAACAGCACACGTACAGGGGGGCGCTCTACCAAGAGCGGGGCCTCTTGACCTCAGGGAGCAAGGAAAGGAAAAATAAACCTGAAATACTGGCCCTGCTGGAGGGACATCGAACTACTAATTCCCCAGTGGTGAGAGGCGATGCTTTTGCCGACGCAACAGTATACCAGTGGGGCCCCTCCAAATTATTCTCCCTGTTCTGCTTGGACGGCTCCTGCCACATCCTCCAACCTATGCCGAAGAGGAAACTAAGTTGGGAGAAGCCTTAAAAGACTAGAACTACTGCAGGAGGGTGGAAAGTCCTTCCGGACAACAGAATCTAGTTCCTGAACACCTGGGAGCGAGATCTGATGGGGCAGCTACATCGGAGCACCCACCTTGGCCGCACCAAGGTGACTGAACTTCTCCAGAGAGACTGTTGCTGCATCCGTCAGATGGCCCAGCAGGTGACAACCAGGTGCCTCGTCTGTGCACGAGTCCACTCAGGTAAAAATAGATATCGTTACTTGTGTCTGAACACCTTCTCTGGATGGGCAGAAGTTCTCCCCACGAAGTCAGAGACAGCACAAGTAGTTGGAAAGAAGTTAGTAACCGAAATTGCTCCTAGATTTGGCCTCCCGGTGGCATTGGGGTCCGACAGGGGCCTGGCGTTCATCGCCAAGACAGCTTGATGGCTGGACCAGGTGCCGCAGATTGACCGGAAACGGCACCGTGTTTATATAGGGCTCGGGGCAGGTAGAAAGGATGACTAGAGTTATAAAGGACGCGTTCAGTAAGTCAGAAGCAGAGACTGGCGAAAATCGGGTGAGTCTCCTTCCTTTTCCTTTTGCTAAGAGTTAGATGTACCCCTTGTCGTTTCATACGGAAGTTACTCCTTTTTGCATGTTTGGTTGACCTCCCTCACTCATACCTAAGCTGGCGGAAGACAGCAACAGAATTAAACAACCATTACCCTTAAGTTCTTGCAGGCTTTGCAGTCCGGTGCGCAGCGAACACGAGGTTTAGTGAGGGCTGCACACCCTGGACCTACTAACCCCTCCCTCTGAGAAAGCTTCATCCCAGGTACAGCCTGGAGACCTCGTTTGGATAAAAAAGCCTTCAGCTGGCAACATTCAAGGCCAAGTGGACAGGACCTCCGCCCGTGACCCTCGCCAGACCTCGTCGAGCTGTGAATTACACCCGGGTGCTCACACGGACAGTTGGCGCCAAAATCTGCCGCAGTTGGTGCTGAGTCAACAGAGTAACCTTTAAATCTCGGTAAACTAAAGACTTCTGTCAGCCACTAGTTGTGTTTCTCTTAGCTTTATTAATAGGACCGTGCATTTTTTTGTGTGTATAGTTTTTATTTCAGGATGTCATGGGGGTGCAGATGTTTTGGTTATGTATGTTGCCCTTCCCCCTCCTTCCTCCCCCAATTCCGAGTTTCAAGTGCGTGCACTTTGTGTATGCGTGTACCCGTCCCCTCCTCCCCCCTCCCCAGACCCATGCATTGTTAATGGCGTGTTATCATACATATAAAAAAAAAAATGCAAAGTGTAAACCTCAGGGCATTGCGCACCCATTGTCACCACACGTGCAGAGATGCATCAAAGATTTGATTCTAGCAAAAAACCAGTGGGGGCTGTTAGATGCCCCTCCCCTCTGGGAGGCACAGCGCAGCAGCCACGTTGCAAACCAGCAGGACTAAGTTTTATGCATCAGGAACAGAAAAACAACGTAATTGTGTAACTGATTGTTTGAATTCTCCCCGTGTATGTAGGTGAATTTCACTGTTTGCTTAACTCAGGAAAAAAAAAAATGTATCTTGCCTTCACCAATGCTATCTGCTTCTGTAAACTCGCTTGCCTAAAGATTGTAATCAAACCGGGAGGTCTGAGGCAGGTCCCAGACCCCCCAGGTGCCAGAAATTATTTCAACACT